TGTACAAACTCGATCATAAAATCATTATTACAGTGTGATAAATTAGAATTGTCCGCCGACAACCTGTATTATACGTACACGTAATAACTCTCCACATGCCCCTGTGCTAAAAATAGTGCCAAGCGACTTTGAATACAATAAATAAATAAATAGATAAATAAAAAAAACGGAACGGGACACTTTGAGAGGGACAAGAGAGGCCAAAGGGAGTTATGGTATAAAATTTCATTGCAAATGTTCAAAAGCTTCTTAAGATATCGCCCGGAAACGAAAGTGTTACACACAGACGGGATTTATGAATTTACGACCTTGAACTTTGACCTTTTGACCTAAAAATCAATAGGGGTCTTCCTTAGGCCACAGGGAGTTGTTATGTAAAATTTCATTGCAAGAGCTCAAAGAATTCGCGAGATATCGCACAGAAACGAAAGCGTTAAAACAGACAGAATTTATGAATTTATGACCTTGACCTTTGACCTTTTGACCTCCAAATAAATAAGGTTCTTCTTTAGGCCATAGGGAGTTGCTATGCAAAATTTCATTGCAAAAGCTCAAAGGGTTCCCGAGATATCGCGCGGAAAGTGTTACAGACGGACGGACGGATAGGCAGACCCAAAAAATTAATATCCCCCACTTTCAGTGAAAGCGGGGGACAAAAATTAATATCCCCCACTTTCAGTGAAAACGGGGGACACAAAGTACAGTGTACGTATATACTGAAACAGACGCCTTTTACCGTATTTTTTATCAGTAATGTCATTAGATATCAAATGGTTTAAAAAGTATATTTTCCCCGTATACTGAAATATCTCAAACAGAGTAAAATATATGGTTGTCTTTGAGAGAATCTTTAGGTATCAGGTGCAAGCATACAGTCTAAGAATCGGATTACCTTTAGGATTGTCCTTTATGGTTATCCCCTATCACATACAACTTATAATTCTTTAATCGTGCGCTTTTAGAACCGCTTCAAATTAAAGGGAGAACTGCCACACTTATATAGATTTAGAGAGAGAGAAGCTGCTTGGTATGCAAAATATGAATTAAATGTGATGTATATAAACGGTAGATGGTAAAGTTGTAAAATGTTCTTGTGAATTAAAGCCATAAGCTTTTTGCATGTCCTTTAATTGTCGTACAACAATCGTACAAAATTTTAATACAATCTTCAAGCCCCATGCATTCAAGGTGTCATTCACTCATTAAGTACTTTAAGGAAAAAGAGTCTGTCAAGCATGAACACTTCCTCCTCAATTTTTGATAAATGCAAATAAATTTTGACTTGTTTTGAAGGAAAATGTTATCGAAATGTAAATGTTTTTATTATCAGTTCCAAACTATTGTTTTACACATTAGATATATTTAACTTGAAACAGTCTACGTTAATGTTAATATCGAACAGCACAAGTATTATTTGATAATTCTGGAGTTCATGGAAGCGTTACCTTTACGTCATTAAGTTATTGACGGAAAGCAACGTAGGATTACGATAGATATTCCGAAATGGTGATCATAATCGTAATATTAAACTCCTGTCAGCTTGGTCAATACATTAGTTGAAAAGAATACTTTGATTGAACCTAGTTTGAAGACCCAAATTCTTAAGTACTTAGAGATATATTTCAAAAAGTGAAGACTTTTGTATCGTGAGAGAGATTGTAGTAATGTGTTTATTCTATTTTTTAAATTAAAAAATTAGTAAACAAACAGAAGTATACCTGACATTTTTGTGATCAACTGCAGTCAATCACAGTCGACACCTTTGTGGCATTCTACAAAAATACATGTAACCTTTCACACGAATGTTACATGTACATTTCTTCGTCGTGTTTTTGGTCATTTTATTAACTTTGAATTAATGTTTTGACCAAAATTGAATTCGAATGAAAAAAAAAATTGAAAGTTTAAAGTTGTTAACAATCACTTCCTTTCCATCATAAAATTATCGATAAGACACTTTTTTCCTCCATCGGCAAGGTCATTTGATTTATTCATTTATCAATAATTGTTGCTAAGTTTGAAAAGAAATTGATGCATTCATAGCATTTTCTCTTGTACTTTAAAAGCTGTTTAGTTTTTAGCAGGAACGTAAATCGCGTTTAACCTTCATTAAGGTATGTCACTCGTCAGCCTTTAAGAAAATTTTAGTCAAAACCTCTTACTTAAAAACTATTCATTACAATTCAATCTTTATGACATATTTAAATTAAACAATGTAAAATGTTCAACATTCAATTAAAAAACTGCTCAAAAATTCATAAAGAAGCAAGATTTATAAGGGACTATTTCTTGTGGTGGAAGGATATTTAGCAGAAATTTCTGCAAATCTACACATTTATTAAATTTAATATCTTGGAACTTTAGCCTCACATACTTTTACTCGGAGAATATTTTTCGTTATGATATGCCTGGAATATTAAATATACGTCTCAATTTATATTTTTATAACAAAATTTACACCTTCGCTAAACAAATTTTGCCAAGAAATGAAGATATATTAAAGAAGTCAAGATAAAATTTAAACAGTTTTTGCCAGAAAATTGCATATTTTGACCAATATTTCAAAATTTACATCACTGACCTCAACTTTTTCTTTCATTATTTTAAACTACTCGATACTTTTGACCGATCAGCAATTAAGTCGTAAAAAGTTTGATACAAGAAAATATTCTATTGCCTATTTTGATTTTTTAATTCCCCAAATATGAGAATTTTTTAGTGCAAAAAGGTCACACAATAATTTACGCGCATTAATTTGCATGATTTGTTCAATGATAAATATTATTCAAACTATTTTACGTAAAATAAGATTATGTTTATTGTCATGGTTACATCTCATAAAATATGATAACGGTTAAAGTGATTAACCAAAGAGCTACAATTTAAGTGCAAAAAGGTCAACTTAATTGTACCGTAGTTTAGTTAGATGCACACTGACCCCCCATTTTCTCTGCGATTCTGAGTCATACTATATGAGTACTTATCCAAAATATACTTCTCAAAAAATCCTTGATATAACAAATTTCACGAGTGACATACCTTAAATAAATGGGTTTTTTTCTTTTTTGCATAGCTAGAGCCTTACTTCAACTTATTACAACAAAACTTATAAAATGTTTTCAACGTATATATTTCTCAATAATCCTGATTATTCTAACGTTAGATTTTGTAGATTATAAAAAAAAAAATACATTAAGCATCAATGGAATTTTAACTCCCTTAAGTGCCCATATCCTGGCCAGCAGAAGATATACCTAAAGTAGCCTATGCTAGATGCCTCCTCAGTCATTTCACGAATATATATATATAAGTCATTCTTCGATTGACAGTTTTTTCACCAATGACTATTGATTATACTATTACAACAATTATATTACTTTCATGATAATTGTTCGTTAATTATCATACAATTTCTTCTGAGAGAGAATATGTTGATCAGTAACTGTGTGTGGGGTTTTTTTTTTCTTTCTTTTTTTTTAATGAATGAATGGTTATACAACACCCGCACAGTGCAGACCTAGGCTATTTGTTGCAGATGCAAATGTAAAGTTGCGACAAAATTAAGTTCATCATTCTGGCAAAAGAGCATTATTGAATATCTTTGTACCGTATTTGTGCCATCCATACAGAGTTTCATATATCTTGCAAGCACAGGTGTGTGCTGTTTGCTGTTTGCTAGTGACAAAAGACTGGTGACAGTATTTGCTATGGACATGATGAACAACACACTAATTTTATAATAAGTGGTTTTTTCTTAAGAGATCAGATGAGCACAGTGAAAGTTCAAGTAAATTAAAAGTCGAATGTCTTGGTCGTGCACAAGACGATAGCCAAACCAACCATTCACTCAAGTGTAACGAGCGCATTGGGGTATATATCGTTACAATAAGACAAAGTATCTGAAAGAAATATGGCGGAATACGGCTATAGTTGGTATGAAACAGGTACATAGATGAAAATGTTGCGTTTTTAAGAATTCATGTCAGCTTTAATATACATCCAATGATTTGTACGAAAATTTAACACAATGAATATTTTGTGCCCATTCTTACGTAGCTGCAGGCCCTATAATGCCATCTAACTAAGGATGCATACTGCAAAATCTAGATGCAGCATGAGTTAACTATAGTATTTATTGTCCTTATGAGTTAACTCTCACTAGGAAAAATGCAATTATTACTTTATAAAATTGTCAAGCAACAAGATAATTTCTGTCAAATTCTGAAGCGCAAAGTATATTGTAATTGTGGGCGTATAAATTATAAATTATATATCTTTTGAAATTAAGCGTTCAAGCGATATCTATGAGTGAACAAATGGATGATGAAACTTATTCTTTTACAGTAAAAGGTACTAGTAGTTGTAGCGAACCCGCTTATAATGAATGCACGCTTATAGCGAAGTGAGTTACATTCCTCATGGTTTTAAAACGTACTGTAAACTGAATGTAAACGTTGTCCCTGACACTTTGCGTGTTTTACCGTATATTGTAATACAGTAAGATAAAACAGGAAAGATTTATATGATTTATTAAAAAATATACCAGAAAATCGCTGGACAGTTACATATGGTGAAAAAAATTACTTCTCCAAAAAAGAATGCAAACTTCATTTTTAACCAAATGAACGTTTACCCTTAAACTCTTTAACAAAACATCTACTAATATTACATGTAGGTCATACAGTTTTTACAACTGCAACGTTGTTTTTAGCTTTGCTTTAAAAAAAATTCTAAAGTTGACGATTGTCAAATACCAATATTATAAATATAAAACACACAAATCATTTTCAAAAAAAATAATACAAACAGTTGTTATTTCGAACACACAAAATCTTTAAAGCATGACATTTGATTCCTTTATAAATGAGAGGAAAGATTTTCAAAAAATTGTTCATTTTACATTTCTATTTAAATATGTACAATCATATTCGTACATTAAGACAATTTTTCTGTACAAATTAAACTCAACAAGAAGAAAATTCTTCAAACCATACTTTAATTATTAAGAACATTGTAACTACACAGTAAAGTTCATGTTTTAACATGTTCTGGATTTTTTAAAAAAAATACAATATTAAGCAAACACTTCAACAAAGAATTGCATTTCTGCAAACAACTACATGTGTTATCGACGCTTACATTAAAACAATCCACATAGTATCTACATATACATGTATTAAAAACCGTTAAACATTTACTTGTACATATATTCAGTGTTTAATAAGCATTTTAAAATATTTTTCCAATTATCACATTTTACAGAAACTTGAAATTCGTCATAATTGCACTCTTCTTGAAATTTGGACACATTTGTCGGTATACCTGATCCTCATTTTTTTCTCCATAATAGTTGTACTGATATAAATGTATCCTTGGTTTCCTATGCAAAAAAAAAAGTTTAAAGAAAAGTCTATATGCAAAACAAATCCAAAATAGGTACCAAAATATACTTTAACATACATCAATTATACTTCTAAAAATCTAAACATATCACTACGTTACCTCGAACGAAGTCGGGGCGACATATCACATTTACTATATATTGTTCCAACATTAACCTTGTCCGCACATTTCTCGAAGACAGCGATTATGATGAAACTTCACTGAAATGCTGATTACCAGCTGTAAATGTGCAATCACTTTTCAAAAATTTCAACATGGCCACTGTTGTCATATGCATGAAAAAGGGGGAAAAGACCAATTTTTTAAATTTCATTTTTTTTCTCAGTAAATTGCCAACCAATCTTTTTGAAACTTTTAAGGTTTATTCATTTTGTCCTGTCAAAGTATTAGTTCTCTCTGCTAAAACATGGAATAGAATGGATTGAAATAACGGACAATTTAAGAAAACTTGCGAATTGCTGTCACAGTGACCATTTCAACGAAAAAAAATGCAAGTGATTTTGTCCGACAAGGTTCTCGGAGATGGCTAAGACAAACTTACAGAAACTTTACAGAAAAAATGATCACCAACTGTAGCTGTGCAGCCACCTTTGAATTTTTTTTTAAAATATCCACCGTTGTCATAGAAACAGAGGAAAAATGATAAATGTTTATTTTCGTTTTTCTCAGTTATTTGTCAGTAAATCTTTTTGAAACTTTAAAAGCTTTTATCTAGCATCCTGTATATGTGCTTTCTACAAAAAATTGGAATGGGGTGGACGTAAAGAACGGATAATTTCAGAAATGTTGCTGTCAAGTGTCCGTTTCAGCGACGTTCCACCTATATTTTTGTCCGCGAATGTTCTCAGAGATGGCTTTCACAATCGTTATGAAACTCTACAAATATTTTTTTTCTGTCAAAAATTCAACTTCGTCGATGATTTAAATATAAGTTAAGATTAACTTGGAAATAATGTTTTAATTTTTTTCTCAATGTCGACAAATTTAACTTCCCTGGTATGATAAATTGTACATTAGTTTAACGACATTTACTTTTCATGTAATTATTTTGATTCTAATTGGTTCGAATCAAAATTGTACTAAAGTAGAGATTTTCAATATTCAATAGCATTTTCTATTTTTTTTTCTCTGAAAATTCAACTCTGGATTTTTTCATTCTTATGCATTCTTTACAGACAAAAAGGTTGGGCGCACATACGCGGCCTTTTAAGCTTTTCCTTATTTAGAAGCAAAATGTTTTTTGAGTTTCTGAACAATTATATATTCACTAAGCTAACTATCTTCATTCCTTCAAAACATTAAAAAACTCAAATAAGAGGTTTATCAGAAAAATCAATATTTTTTTTTTACTCCAATCACGTCTCTCGAAAATTATTTCTTCGTTCCACTACCTTGTCCAACAAACAAATCAATCAGCAGTCCTCGACTAACTCCGCTACACTCCATAGTATGAGAGTATGCAACGTACGAGCCACCCGAGGAGCTCAGAGTAACAAAGACATACTGTACGTTTTCCTCCGCAATCTCTACTTTTGCTTTGTAAAAGTTGGGTTCGACCAAAGCAAGCAAACATTAATTATTTCCTTTTGTGTGTGCATGCTTATGTGAGGGTGTGTGTGTGTGTGCGTTTGTTTTTTTTAAATACACTCTTTCTTTGAGCATCAATCAATCAATCAATTGTTTGGGGTGCAATAGCAGATTTTCTATTTTTTTTTTTTTTTTTTTTTTTTGGTTGCAATTCAGTGAAAAATTGCTTTATAATGATTAGTAAACTTTGCAAATTTCGATGAACAACAAGATTTTATTTTTAATGAGAGTAGAAACAAATGTATCACTTCTAATGGATAGAAAGCATAAATGGCGAAGTTATCAAATTCCTTCCCAGTTTATCTTATCCATATGTGTAAAGTATACATTCTTACTTTAAAACTAACAGAAAGGAGAAGTACACTTGAAATTAAACAATGGGTCCAAAGGTTACAATCCTTACTTGAGCTCTTCTTCATCAGCAGATTTCCCCTTTTATTCCTATGTAAAACTTTAAAGCCAATAATTGTGGCCCAGGGCCCGCCCTGGTCATGATTTGAACAAATCTGGTTCTACACTACCTGAGGATGCTTCCAAATAAATTTCCTAATTATCTCCCCTTCAAAGAGGGTGTAACCACTCATTTGTACAAACTTAATTTTGTGGCAAACTCTGTGGCAAATTTGGTTGTAGCTGCAGAACTGTAGCTCGCTGGTTGAGAAAATTCGGACAGACAAATCAGAGCTACTGATCTAAGAATTCTACAAACCTTCGATTTACGGGGACGCTTTAATTTTTGTCGCTCGCTTTGGGTTTTATTGTCCATGTTGAAGTCTTGCTAGAATAACACGCCTGAATAGTATATAGGTATCAGGAATAGGAGTAAATAATAAAATATACCCGAAGCGAGCGACAAAAAAAGCGTCGCCGTAAATCGAAGGTTTTTAAAGTGCTTGGATCTGTAGCTCTCTGGTTTGTCTGTCCGACTTTTCTCAACCAGAGAGCTACAGTTCTGCTGCTAGTTTGGTTGAAATTTGTTCAGTGATTCTGGAGAAGAAGATACACATGTAATTATGTGAAAAGTTAATGATCAAGTCAAAAGCTGTCAATGTGACACCAAACGGGTTCTTCCTTGTTAGAACAGAACTAGTATTTCTTACATGAATAGACAAATTTTCCATTTGCAAGAGTTATTTCCCTTTGTCGTGTAAAACCAATATTTCTCACTATATCCTACGTAATTTGCCTATATTTTTTTTTATAATCTAAAAGTCTTTTTACAATTCTATGCCATATCTTTATTGACAAAGTAATGAGCAACAAAGAAAAAATAATGAACATACACATATAGATGTTATTTATCAGATACTGCCGCATAAAGATGGTAATGTTATAGAGGGAAAACAGCGCCTTAAGTTGGTTGACCCTAAATGACCCAGAAGGGAAATAACTCTTGTAAATGTGAACGTCGTTTATTATAAAAACCTTCTATTCCGAAATATGTAGGAGATGACATCACAACAAAATCAATGTACCCTATAAGGATATTGTGCATAGAAATGACTAAGTTCAAAGAATGGCATTTCCCCCATGAATGATCAAAAAATTAAATTCCAAGCAGTATGCACATCTCTGATATATGTCCAATTCATCTGCAAAATAAGAATTTCTTATCTTGAAAACAGTATGAGGAAGCTATTAGGGGTACGCTATTGTGCAACATTTTGTTTAAAAAAAAATTCATCAGCTGGTATTTCTCGCATAAATCAACAAAAATTAAAATAGAAGTAATATCAGTCTATGCACATCTCTAATATGTACAACTGATCTGCAAAAAAGAAAGAGAAAGGTAAAAAAAAAACTTCCTATCTTCAAAACTGTAGGAGGAGTTATCCGGACAAATGATGTACGCTATATGCAATTTTGGAAATAAAATTACTAAGTTCAACAGCTGATATGTTTTTCATAAATAATCAAACATTAAAATCCAAGTAGTATGCACATCTCTGATCTGCAAAACATCCTATCTTCAAAACTGTAGGAGGGGTTATCCGGACAAAAGGGGTACCCTTTCGGCAGCCGCCTGCCCGCCATTTTCACCATTTCAATAACAAAACTTATATGGAAAACCTGGTTAAAAACACCAACGACGACAACGAAAGACAATGGACAAATTTTGATCACAAACGTTCACTTAAGCTTTTGGTTCAGGTGACCAAAAATGGGAAAACAATGCATGTATGAATGTCCACTTGGAACTGACATACCAATTTAGTTATACATTTGGAATCTTTTTTCCCACGAGTTCAAGAATTTTCCCTACAAATTCAACAGCTTTCTCAGCTTGGTTTTTGGTGTAAATGTCGGAAGGAGTAGCCATGCCATGTCCTCCAGGAACCGCATCTGGATATCGCATCTGGAAATAATTGCCAGTTATTCCCTCCAAATGACAAGCAAGTCCCAAAAGCTCAACATCATCAATCCAATGGGCTAGCACAGCTAAACTGTGAGTGCGATCTACTCGGTCTGCATCAATTTGATACAACAGGGCTTTGAGTGCTTTCTCTGCAGACTAGAAAATAGCCAAATAACAGATTTCAGTATATGCAGAATTAAAAAATATGTAACAAATTCTTAATGCAAAATTCAATATTTTTTCTTTTTTAGCATTAACGTAAATCAAATACACAATTTTTTTTCAGTATCAATTGATAAAGATTTGTATAACATCTAACAGGTTTCCTTTAAAATACATAATAAAATATCAGATGGAGAAAAAAATTACAACATAAATCATGCACCTGATGACATTTATAACATGCCCAGTTGTACGCATCAGGCTGCGTCTTGTCCGTAGACGAAGCTCGAAAGTCAGATTTTGCTTGTTGAAACCACCTCCTCGCCTGTCCCGGTTGAGAACCCCTTGAAAAAAATTGTCTAAAAAAGTCACTAGATCCTTGAGACTGGTAATCACCCCGTCTCCTTGCATATGAGGTTCCACGATTGTAACATCTTCTTGCAAACGCAGATGTTGGGACATTTAACGTTTTATTGAAGTTTCCGAAAATATCAATGTCATCGACTGACTGACCTTCTTCTAGTCTTTTCTTTATAAAATAAATGAAAACAGTCAATTCGTTGAAATACTCCTTGTTATCTTGATGTTTGTCAGGGTGATATTGAAGCACTAGCCGTTTTACAGTTCTTTTAAATTCTTCATCTGATCTCCTGAACGCATTTCTTAGAACGTCCCTGATGTAAGTTTTGACTCTATCATTATTCCAGCTGAAAACTACAGCGCCATCCACGACGTCAACACTCTGGTCTGCATTATCATTCCGAATAAATTTATATACTTTGGATGCAACTGCTTCAAGAGGATCTTCTCTCCCAACATCTATCAGATAACGGATGCACCATTCATCAGCATTTAGACAACAATCCAAACGATTGGACATAGTTTTCAGAATCTTTGCCAAGATGTATACAGGTTCTGTGTCACAAGTGTCATCTTCATCTATAATTGGATCAAACAGTTCATATGCAACAAATTCTCCTGGTTCAATGTAGGTACATGAATTATCTAACAGATGGTGTAAAATTATTGGTATTTCTGTGCCAAGTTCTGGCATAAATGGGAGAAATGTTGACAATCTGCCTACATCAATCTTTCTTATTTCCAGATTATCCAACTCGCTTTCTATTGCATTAGGATCTTGTATGCATTTCAACAAATCTGGTAGATGCATCTGATTCTCTTTCAGAGGTTTACCAAGGAATGCATTTAAGCTTCTTGATACTTCTCTAGCTATACTGTTTATCCACACCAGCATATCTGTATCTTTGACAACTTTGAAATATATGAATAATTTTGAAATTTTATTGTCGTCACACTCTTCTGTTGAAAAAAATAACCTATTCTTTGACGTATTAGGCAGTGATTTGTTTTCATACGTCATAACTGTTGTCAGTCTTTCAACACAAAGTACAACAACTGACTGGAGTTTTTCCAAAATATCCATTTCCTCTTTTTCTCCACAACTCTTGTCGTTATTGTAAAGTTCATCTCTAACAAGTCTAAATATGCCAGCAAAAAATTCAGGACTATGCAAAAATCTCTGAAGTTTTGTTCCATAATCAGAAGGAACTGTCCATGCTTTACAATCCGATTCTATTTTTTCAATCACAACCTTTGACAGCAAATGTGGTCTATATTTCTGTGGTAGTAAACTTATCTCCAAAACAGGATCAGAAACATTTATTTTTAACTCTTTGAATCCAACAAAGAAGTCCATATCTGGCATGTTGTTGCCAATTCTTTCTTCTAAAAGTTTGTTGTCCACAAATACTAAAGAATTACCACAAATCAAGTTTCTTTTCTTGCTGGGTAGGTACAAGGTTGGTACTTTCATATCGACAGTTTTTTCTGTTTTAAGTTTGGAAAATAAAATTTGCACAGCTTTTTCTGTACTAAATATTTCATTGGGTTCCAAAATATTACCTTTTGATTTCTTCCATATTTTATACAACACTCTGGCTAGGTGACTGCATTCTAAAGATTTCGAAGCCCCGTGCATCTCAAACATTGAATGAAATTGGCCAAAATACAATGGTGCTTTACACAAATACGGGGGTATCTCCTCATTTTTGCTGATATCCAACACAACTTGTTCAGGGAATGCAAGCAACTTTCTGTCTTTGATGAAGATAAACGGCACAGTTTTTAACACCTGTTTGGACTCGTCATTTGCATTTTTCTGTAAATAGCTGTATATTCTATTCATCATTAGAGTAACAGCCTCCTCCACTTCATCATTTTCGTAAAAAAGGCTTTCCATTTTATCTTTGAGAGAACTGCATATAATTCTCAAATGATCTAGTATGATACACATAGAAGGCGTTTCAACGAGACCCAACAATTTCTTTGCTACGCCGATATCAGACCTGTTCATCATATTAATAATATCCTCAGATATGATCCCCATCACCGACCACACAAGGAGATCATTTGCAGGCATTGTTGAATTGCGGAAAGAAACAAGCCTTTTTCCATTTTCAAACTGCGACGCCAGTGATAAGAAGATTCGTCGCATGTGATGAGGAATGAGAAACCTAATACCTTGTATCTCATTTATCAAAAAGCGACTTTGCAAAAGATCATTGTTCTCTGTAAAAAGTATTCTCACCACGAGTTTGGAATTTGCAATAACTTTTGCCGTGAGTCCAGAATTCGCTAACCTTTGCAATCCCACAAAGATCTCAGGCGTAATGTCACTTTTAATTCCACAGTGGACAAGAAAGCATTCCCATTCTTGTTCATTAAAGGGTGGGAGGGGCAGTTCGAATTCACTGCAAAGTTCATTTTCAATTTTAAAAATTTCTTTGTGTGGATTAAAGAATTCACATGCACGCGCTAATTTGTCTGATTCTGTTGGAAGAAAAGCAATTTTTGGCAGTAAATTTTTCAACATTGCTAGTTGCCGTTTGTCATTTTCATTCGGAAAATAGTTCAGTCCCGGTAAAACAATATCCTTTATAAATTTCAAATGATGCATAATTGCCGCTGATGGTAGGATTTTGAAATTGGGAAGTATGTAGTTAATGTAAATATCCCTCTCTGATAGCACTATGCAACCAAGATACTTCAGGAAATCTAATGATAGGCCACTCGGTTTGATAAACGTAATGTTCCTCTCTGCACCAAATTCTTTCATGCCTTCAACAGGAACTCTATCAGGCAACACCATTATAGTGTCTTCTGACAGTGTACTAAAATTGCTGAGCAGACCACAATAGAAGGGAAGGCACCTTAGTTTGTTCCGAGATTCTTCATCCTTTTTTAGTGTTTCAACGCTTTTAACAAAATAATCTAGCATAACTTTGCAAGTTTCCTTTTCTAATTTTAAACGTCCTCTGTTATAAAACAGACAATCCAAGGTATCTAAAACGTTTTCCACGGTAACTGCAATAGATTTTAATATCTCAGGAATGTATCGCTTTGCAACAAAATATCCATGTATTTCGGAAGTTAGGCAGTCATCATCCACCACTGGTATATTCAACGATATCATCGCCGATTGTTCCGGTCTGTCCACACCAGGAATGATTTTCAAAACCTGTTTTCCGTCTTTAAAAGCGTAAAGTAAGAGTTTGTCATTTACGCAAGCAGGGAGAAAACTACACTCCCCTATATGTTTCATGATTCTGCTGCGTAATTTTACAATAGGCATATCTTCATCATTTTTTGGTATCTTTTTCTTCTTATGGTGTTTTTTGCTTTCTAATTTTTGACAAAAATGTTCATTTTCAAGACAGGCAAGATTTTCCGAGAGAAAACACCAAAACTTTTTCATCCATTCTAAATTTGGTAGGTCATTTTTGTGCTTATCCCAGGACACTGTCAATCCACAACAATATTTCCTGGGAACATTGTATGAAACACAACTAGCAAAGTCCTAGATTTGAAGATTCCTCACAAAAGGTTCAAAAACTTTATTCTTTTTCAACAAGGAAAATTCTGACATATGTACAAATTTGTCTGCAGATGCAGGCAGTAATTCCGGAAAAGAAGTTATAAAAACTGTGGTCATTTTACTGAACTTGCGAATATGCCCATCTGCTGTTAGAAGAAGAGGAACGTGTTCAAATTCCAAAGCACTCAGTTTATTGTCCTTTAAACAGTAATCAAGGAGAAATACCATCCCTTCAACACATCGAAACCTTGTCACTGAAACATGAACATTCACTTTTTCAATTTTACACCTGTCAATATTGATATCATCATATGATTTCAAAAACTGTAACACTGCTCGTGGGGATACAGTTTGTACTTGAGCGCCAGCGTATTTCATGCAGTCATATATCCACATTGGTGATTCGATAAGCTTCATTCCAATGTCTTTCAGCACACCTGCTAGAAATTCCGATGTTTCTGACGCCCATAGCATGATTTCCTTATAATTTTTTCCATAAAATGCGTCATAACTTTGTCTTTTGAAATCGTCTTTCAGCTGGAATTTGATTTCATCAAAGTAAGAAGGAAAGGTACCTGATGATATTGCCACCCATCTGATTTCTAATGATTCTTCTTGTATTACTGGTTTGTTTTCAACTCTATTTTCATCTTTTGTTTCTGTTTGAATCTCGCTTTCGGTATCATTCTCATCTGATATTTCCAATTTTTGGTAATCTCTACATACAATTGGAAATAGACAACATTCAGTTTCTGCAATTTGGTTGTATAAGATTTTTGCTGTGAATTCCCATATTTTGTCCTTTAAAACTCTCATAAAAGGAAATGCTTGATGAAATTTGTGCAACTGTTTCCATGGTTTCCTGGATATTATTTCTGGAAACAACGTAGTTTTCAGATATTGAAGAGTTGAAATGTAAGTTGGCACAATAACGTTCTCAATCAAACATTTATTCCATTCTAGTTTGAAATCTGATGATGTATCGTCTGGCCACCAAATATTGCGACGTGCTTCGTGATCCAAAGCAAAATGTCCATTGATGTGAACTGGCAAACCTGTTATGAGAGGGAGCGGCAAGAAGCAAAACGCCTTGAAAAGATTTAAAGGCACATGAACGCTTTTTGCTACATCTTGATTCTTGATAAGCTTTTTATTCTTAAGGTTGAATGCTACACCAGAACTTGGTAACAAGGCAAGACGTCTTTCCTCATATGCTCTCTTCACTCTATCTGGAATTCTCTTTTCATCCTTAAAACCAAATCCAGCAACGATCAGCCATTCTTGTGTGCATATGTTGTCAATGTCTACTTTCAAATGATACATTATTTCGTTTCTTCCTACACTGCATACATATGCCGAATCCTTCTTCATTTGTTGTCGAACATCAAGAACCAATTGGTGCAACCTAACATTCTCCTGTGATTCACAAGAAGCTTCTGCCTTTACAATGAATTCCTGTCTTAGAGTGCCATTTTTATCTACTGATGAAATTGGAAATCGGAACAAAGTGCCACGTGAAGACTTCCAAATCCCACTACCATCTAAATAGCAAGGCATGATGTCTGTAAATCTTCTCCCCACTCTTTTGGATGCATTCTGAAATTTTCGACCTGGTTTTGTTGGAGATGCACCAGGAATATATTTTAGATGAGGGTCTAGTACACACAACGTATCCAAGCCAGTTTTACAGTCTCTTGTAATAAATGATGGAGCATCAGAGAGATGGTAAACAACATTAAAGCCAACACCATAATGGCCTGTAGATGTTGGATCGTCTGCTTTGCTTCCTATTCCTAAATTCTGAATTCCCTGTAAATCTTTTTCAGTAAATATGCTATCATTATAGACACACAATGCCGGCCCTTGCAATTCCTTCCAACTGTCACTAAAAATGTGTTCCTTACCATGAGATCTAAAATCTTTGATAAAGTGTAGTTCTGAAGCACCAGCATCATCAGCATTTTGAAGAAGTTCCTTCAGTATACAAGCCTCTGGATATCCGTCCAAAATTCGTTTGATTCGAGTTGTAAGTTCTTCATGTTGTCCAAACTCATCACCAAGTTCTTCGGAATCGTTTAAAATACTTTGGTCTCTTTTGGATTTAATCCCTGTCATTTTTGCCAACTTGAGAGGTATTGCAGTATTTAAAAATCTCATTGACACAGTTGTAGAAATCCAATCAAAATCGTCAATGCACAATTCATCTACATGACAAAGGAAACCATTCGAATCTGGTAGGTAGAGATCCTCCGTTGGAATGAAATTAGAATTTTCTAACAGTATTGCCATCCTACAAACTAAAGCCAAATCCCCTTCCGTCATCTGTTCATCACCATACTTTTCCTTCATCGTAAACAACACGCGAACAATATCCTCTGACTCAAACGATTTTCGAACACCAAGCATTTCCATCAATGAAGAAAAACGATTGGCATACTTCGATCTCAAACCATAAAAGTAAGGACTACAATCATGCATCAAGGAAAAGATAACTTGCTTAGGATAAGCAAATGTCTTTTCTGTAATGATACAAGGCATATTCGACAAATATGTTCGTATAAATTCTCCCACCCCTGGTTCTGATAACTGCTTTGCAAAAATCGCATAAATTTCAAAGCAAATGTCTTCAACGTCTTTATTTTGAGCACCATCGGAAACCTTTGTTATTTCGGTGAGCTGAAGTTTGAGGGTTTCCAAATCCACATCCTCTTCGTTTCTTACACCAAGTGCTTTTAGTTCTTTCTCATAATACTGATACATATCGTATCTACCTATCACAGCTCGTGAACACCCAACCAGTTTTTTTGTGGAAGGAAAATACAAATTGCTTGGTTTTTCGTACAATTCAATACCTTCTGCACCGTTTTCGTGTATTTTGCATTTCAAAAATTCATGTTGTTCCTTTTCAGTATCACTATGCCATTTAACAGGCCACTCAATAGGTTTTTTCCCACTGGTAGAAAAGGTATGCAAGACATTTTGTCTAAATTTTCCTTGGAAAATGTTAAAAAGTTCCTATGAATATATCTAACAATTTCTTTAGAACGGAGCAATGCACATTCTGTACAAAGTTTGGACAAGTTAACAGTAGCTCTACATTGTGAATGCAAGAGTTCAAATGGCACATCATACCTCATCATTCCAAGTCTTGTGAGTATTTCCAAGTCATCTTCTTTGCAGATTAAATCTGTAGGAAATCGTTCATCTTCTGTTATGAATATTCCAGATACTGTGGAACGAGGATGAACTAGGTCTCCTGGTGCTTTTCTTGTACTACTTGGACAAGTTGTGATGCATTTACTTTCTTTCATAGCTGAAAGAATAACATTATTTCTTGATCTCAGTGCACCAAGGACAATACGGTCATATTCCTCCCCAGTGAAAAGAGATATACTCGGCAAGAAGCTTTCTGTGATGAACTTTTCATATGTCACCACATGCTTCATAAATAATGTACCAAGACAATTCTCCAGTTCATTGTAAACATCATTAGGAATCTCTGTAATGACTTTTCCATTTAAGTGAGTTTTCTTCAAAATATTCACAGCAATCTGATACAATTGCTTGTCAGCTTTCAAGTCGGTGTGCAAAAACATACAGTCCTGAAATTTCATGTATCCGAGATGCGTTTTGAAAATTGTTAATTCGCGCTCTACAATACATCTATAAAATTCATGTTGAAATGTCTCCCAAAAGCGGTCCTCATTTTCTTTTGGCCATAATTCATAAAATGAAATATCATTAGTTACAGTATTTTTCAAAACAATAAGAAGCTCGAGAAGTGCCTCCAGTGTTGCATCAGTTATCAGACAGTTATTCCAGACCGTTTGTTTTGTATTTTCTTTGTCATCCTCTGTTCTTACTAGTATTCGCTGGCGATCAGATGATACAGCAAATGTTCCGTTAACATGGAAGGCCAATGGAGTCCTTATTGGCAATGGCAAAAAACAAAACAGATGGCCTGTCTCATAGAATCCATACCTCTTGAAAGCAGATGATCTTGCACACAGAAAGCGAGGCAAAAATTGTCCATCCACTGGAATTGCAACGCTGGATAACGGAAGTGCTCCGTCACTACTTTTCTCTCGAAAAAGTTTTAAAGACTGTTTTCTTCCAAGTGCCCATGAAATTAACCAGTTGGTTTCTTCTTTGGATGTCAAATTCTCAACCCATGAATGACCCCAAGAAGCAATTGTTATCTTTGTGTTGCACACTGATGAAAAGTGTAGGGGCTTGTCTAATCTACTACACTGTCTTGAAGCTGCACTTAATATATTATCATTGTTGAGTGTCAGTGAATTTCCAAATTTTTCCTCCTTTTCGACAGTAAGTACGAGCTCCATATCTTTATCGGGATTTGTACTTCTTTCTCTGACATGAAAGAGTTTAATTTTTTTTTACATTCTGAGTGAATAGGAGCATGTTTCCGCTTGATTTGCAAAACATTTTCAGTAGTTTTTCCATTTCATGCCGAGAGTATTCTTTACAGCTTATTTCACTATCAAGAGCTTGGTGTTTTGTACGCAGAGGGAATCTGAATATCGTTCCATTATACCCTTTCTTTTCTGAAAACTCTGACGATTTAAATCCAAACACATTTTGAAAGGGTTTAAACTGATTTTCAAGTTTACGGAGCATGGTTGTATTCAAAAGGTTAAGCTTGATCCCTGGACTTTTCTCATGAATAATGGCTTCTCCTAGATATTTTCCATGTGGATCTAAATACACCAAGTGCTTTCCACTTGCAAAGCTTGGAACATCTGTTAAATTGTAAACTGCATTGAAACCTAACCCAAACTTCCCGATCTTTGTAGTGTCCTTTTTTTTTGTTGCTCCACTAAGTTTTTGAATATTCTGAAAATCACTTGGAGAGAAAACTGCATTGTTGAAAGTCCACAGTGCTGGTCCTTGACATCCTTCCATTCCAGGGTCTATAAGACAACTTCTCGCATCCTTATTTTCTCTTTCATCATAAAGGAAATACACTTCAGATGCACCGGCATCGTCAGCATTTTGAATCAGCTCCTTTGGAACAGATAATCCATCTGTATACCCTTCTTCTAAAAGACGATTCAAGCGCTGGGTTAATGGTTCTGACTGTCCAAATTCCGAGGAAATTTCTTCTGCATCTGATAGTGTAAATTTTTTTAACGATTTCACGCCAAGTTTCTTTGCAATCTCCTTTTCAATCTTTGAATGAATTAGACAAATGTTATCTTCTTCTGTGAATGTCTTGCTGAACCAATCTGAATCAGAGTATGCACACTCGTGCGCGAGTCGAAACGTAAGTGCACTTGTATCTTTACTGTGGACAGGTACCAGGATTTCTTCTCTTATTTCAGCTAGTTCATCTTCTGCATATTCTGATAATTTCTTCAAAATTTTCTTCACTTTTCCCATGTCCTCGCTGACATCTCACTAATGTCTTCTGCCTCCAATTGCCTTTCTTCTATTTTTTTCAGTGCTTCAACAAGCAGATAACAAGACTGTTTTTTATTGCAACCTAGCCTCTCAAAAAATTCTTTTAGTGGGCTGTATTCCTTTGGTAGTAGAATGTAATATGGCGCTAAATCGACATCCGTTTTGTTGCGTTCTATGTAAATGTCCGTGGCCTTCTTAAATCCTAATTCTGTCAAAACGCATTTCTGCGGAATTAATGATGCAAGATCTCTCAAATTTCTTTTAGCTAAATGTTGATAAACTTCTCTCATGAGATAACTGTATTCCGCATGCTCATCATCATTGTAAAATTCCATAACCAGGCAAAAATGCTGCATGACGTGATTCAACTGAGGTGCTTTATTGGTATCAATAAGTTCCTCCCATTCTTGAATACATGTGGGTAGAACTGATCCAGCAATGTACTCGAATTTAGAACTGAAAATCATTTCTAAGGAGACAAATTTTTCTAAATTTGAATACCACGCCATTGATGAGGGGTAGTTTTTGTCTCTGTCCTGCTTAAAGGGCAATATTTTGAAACCGTGAATTGAGTTGTAAACGGAATTGAAAAGTTTTTGGTTTTGTCGAAAAGCTTGCAATAAGGCTTTTGACTTTCTTTCTTTAATGGAATGCTCATGAATGGTCGAATCAAATAGTTGGCATGTTTGCACAATATCGCTTTTGTACGCTGAACTGTTTCTATTCTGAAACTTTAAATGCCTTAGCAAGTCCATCTTCTTTCCGTCCTCATCTGGGAATTTGTTTTCTGAAAGGAAAATCTCTAGTAGCAGATGGTCATTTGGATCATAAAGTTCATTTGCAGAGTGAAGTTTTCTCGTGCCATTTCTGATAAATCTTACTGAATTCAAATCTGTTTGAATTTTCCACCAGTTTCTCAGCATCGATTGCTTTTCTAATACATAAAAACAAAACCTACGTTTAGTTTCCTCACTCATTGGAAGACTACCATTTGCTATTTTTTCAATGCATGTTTGGACACAAATTGTGAGATCCACTTTTTCATAGCAAAGTTCCGAGAGAAGTCGTTCTTCTTTTTTTGTCGATGTCATAATCATAATCTTTGGAAACTGAATTGGAAAGTCCTCGTCTCCAATAAAAACATCATGGCACTCCTTAACAGATGTGTAACCAATTTGACTTGATTTCTCGACTCCAGAAAAACATTTGAATAACCTTAAATTTTCTAAAGCGGGGATTAATGATTTTGGAAGGGTTACAGGTAAGAATTCTTTGAACCACTCCCTATCAGCATCTGAGCAGAAGGTGTTAAATGAGCTTACACCATACTGTATGCAACGTTGTAAAAGCTTTGCATTTCCGTCATCTGTATTTTCTACAATTCCCTTTCCTGGTGCAAGCAATGGATGGTCATGAAAATTCATATCAACTATCCAAATTTTGAATTTTTTCAAAATTTCTATGCGAGACCCATTTGTATCAGCTTCGCTGATAAACGCATCAGATAATTTTTTTAGTACCCCTGATTCTTTTGTTTTGATTAAATTAAGTTCTTTAACAGGGTCCAAAGATGTCGGACATTTATGTTTTAGATATAGCCAAACATTCCTTAGCCAACACTCTCCAAAAACAGCGCTGCTGTCTATCAAAAACACCGGGTCTCTAATTTTTTCCATTTGTTGTTGGGTAACTTCCGTCAAAAAGTGTAAAAAGGCGTTGACATTCAATTTTTGGAATGAATAGTATCCTGCAAAATAAAAAAAATGTACTATGATCCAAACGGCTATTTTCAGCAAAGTAATTAAAATGTTGTGAATAATTAATAATTTCAAGGTTTCATTTTTTTCATTTTTTAGCTTAATCAGCAAAATGCTTTCAAAGAGGTTAGATATTTAAAATTAAGCAAATTCTATTTATTCCTTTTTGAATTGAAAACTTTCTTTATAAAATTTTTAGTTATTGTGTACCTGTTGATGCAAGAGACTCTAAATTTTTTCCAACTTCAGAGGTGGCATTTGTATTCAAAATCAGAACACTCTCTTTACCAGTCAGAATCTGAAGTTCATCCTCTTTGCATAAGTAAACAGTATTTTGAGGCCCCCTCCTTCTCAATTGCACTGTTCCGTAGCTCCCATTTTGCAGTGGTAATAACTCTATTTCATTTAAATCTGCAAGTTTTCTATCGCTACATATGTAGACAAGAAGATGTCCTTTGCTATTGGCACTTAGCTGTTTGTATGTATGGTCTCTTCTAAGAAGATCCCTGGTTTCTTTGGGATTCGTACATTTCAAAACAAAGTTGGAATCAGAGCCTGACCAGTGATGAAAGAGATCCTCATGTCCTTTCAAAACAATAACTTTATTTGTACATTTCTGAAAAAGTTCTTTCACAGTTTTCTTCTCATTTTCCTGAGTGTTCTCTGCAAAGACAGCAAAATATGCTTCCTTGGTCTGAATCCATTTTCCACTCTCAAGGCAAGGAATTTCGGACTCGAGCAAGTGCTGGTGCATTTTTTCGCCAACACATGTTAAATGGTTCTTGATCATTGCCATTCTTGGAATGTGATGATAAAACATTTTTAAGTACTTTCTAGTCAACTCAGATACAAACGAATCATCTTGCCATGACTTCAGAAATTCCAAGTAAACCACAGGTAAAATTTCTTGTACCATTAGTACATTCCAAAGCATGTCATTTTCTAAATGTGAATGACTTATTTTCTGATCATGGGATGGCCATTTAAGATGTTGTCTGTTACTGTCAAGAGCAAAGAATCCATTGACGTGAACAGGTAATCCTGTCGGACTTTCAACCTCGAAAGGGAGAGGCAGGGAGCAAAATAACTGACTGCAGTGAATAGGTTCATCAAGTCTGGCCGCAATTCCGATATATGGCCTATATTTAGAGCGCCGATTTCTGATAAGATTTAAAAGCTCTTTATTCATTCTTCCTGCATGAAAATAGTGGACAATGAACCATACCTGACGCATCTCTAGTTTATTCATCTTAATCCTATATGTAACCATATTTTTCATCCATACTGGGTTACATTGACTGATCCAGCTGTCATCTTGAGCCATATTTACCTCAATATCTCTGATTTCTGCCTTATAGTTCTGTCTTTCCTTTCTCGTTTTCTCTGCACAACTTTGATCTAAAGCAATAGTACACTCAGATTCACATGTATCATTTTCAATTTTGTATATTCCGATTTCTTCAATAGAAGTTAAAAACAACAATTCAGAGCTTATCTCTTCTTTAAAAGACTTGAAAAGATCCTCAACTTTTTCAGGTGAGTATGTATCTTCTGACAATATTGATGGTGATTTTCTAATGGGAAACCAGAATAAAGTCCCTGTGAACTTTCCATTTCTGACCGTTTCCTCATTTATGTCAAATACGTTATACAATGACTCCAGTCCTGTTGGACCACACACACTCGGGTGCACATAACTTGCGATTGGAGCAATACTGCAAACTTTGTTAGGATCCCCTAGCTCGTTTAAAGGATCAATGAACAGAATTTTTGTTCCACTAATAACACAGACAGTATCTGCAAAAAATGTTTTAAAATCAAAGTTTAACTAGTGCTAATTGTAACGGGAACCGTTACAGATGTTCCCCAAACGGCTCCCCAATCCCTTATGATGCCCCATTCCCTACAAGCTTCAATAAATTAGACAATACTTTTGTTATATAGATGGACACTTTATTTTTAAGGGTATTTCATTGGAAAACTACTCCGATATAGCCAAATGAAATTTCAGCGCATGTGCTTGCACATGTTTTCTACATTTTTCACAATAATTTTCTTATAGTGTGTCATAATACATACATTTGTGTTAAATATTAAAGAATTTCGTTGAAAAATAAGAGAGATGTAACCCTTTAAGTATTAGCCAATCAGAATTCAGCATACGCGCATGCATGGCCTTGCATTCAATTTTGATAGTATCATAATGTAGGAGCTCTATGTGCCTATCCATGTCGTAAATTTCATCCTGTTTTGTTGAAAACCAAGGGAGTTATGGACATTCAAAGTTTCAACCAATCAGATTGCAGCACACAAGCATGCGCGTGTTTTCAAGAAATTTCCTATATACATGTTGTAGAACCTTATAATATATACTTATATTCTAAATTTCAAAGTATTTTGTCAAAAAAGAAGGAAATTATTGAGATTTTTGTTTCAGCCAATCAGAGAAGAGCGCACGTGCATGCGCGTGAGTTCACGCTAATTTGACCGTGTTATCTTGTCTAGACTACTAATATATCTTTATATTTTGAGTTTCAAAGCAATTCATCAAGAAATATAAAAGTTACGGCTTCATCAACTATATCAGTCATTTCACTCATTGCACGCGCGCTTACGTGCATGCATGTGCGCGCAAAATGACCTTCGTTCCGAACACCTACACAACATGCCTATTAACCCTAAAAAGGTTTCATGTCAATCGGATGAGTGGTTCTATGAGAACACTCCCGGACAAAATAGTACCGGAGAAGAAAGTAGAAAAAAAGAATAATAATAATAATAATAATAATAATAATAATAAGAAACAGAGTAAAAACAATATGTTCCCAAACTTCGTTTGGAGAACATAATAAACCAAACAAATGTTAAAAGAGGCCCACGACCTCAACACTCATTAGCAATCTTTCTGTCATAAAGATGGAAATTAAGACCTCTTGTTTAGCCATCATTGAAGTGATTTCAACATCCAATTTAGAATTTATTTAAGCCGTGGTCGTGTAGCTTTGTGGAGGTATCTCGTAAAATTTTATATTTATTGTAAACTTTGAATTTTATCTGAGGCCCAGTCCAGACGACCTTGGCCACGTTTTGAAGAAAATGAATATGAATCATCAGCCTATAAATAGTTGGCGAAGGCACATGGACTTGTACAATGAAATTCTTCCAAAATAAACTGTTAAATCTCAACCATGTGACTTCGACAACTACTTAATTCATTCTGCGTGGCAAAATATATATCCCTATGTTAACTATGATCCGTATTGGGACCCAATCCTAGTTTAGTGGGGACAGATTTTGACAAAACTGAAAACACTCTACAAAAGAAAACTCTTTTAGACCTCTTTTCAGGTTCAGTGACCCTGCCCTATTTTTATAATTTCTTACAATCTTCCTTAGGAAGGGGAGAGAAGACATTTTTTATTTCATCCACTGAAATAACAGTCCTTATGACTAAGACGAAATGTTTTGGGGGTTGAACTTTAATTGTTCAGTCTCCTGGTCATCAAACAAAAACCATGCAATACCATTGTTTACGTTATATTGTGAAAATCTGCACCACTTTTGTGTAAGCCAATTTACTTAGAAGTATAATCTACAACTCTATGCATGTATATGCTTCTGCTAAAACGTAAACACCATTCTTTTCATATTCTGTACAAATAGGTAAAAGGATTATTGTATATGAATAAATTCTTATTATTTTTATTTTTTAGCTTTTTCAAACTGTGTCAAAACATTGCTATCAAAAACATAAAAAATATATGTTATCAACAGCCAATAAAGGCAAATTTTTAGATAAATTACATTTACTGAATACCTGTTATGTGAAACACGGATTTAAATCCAATCCCAAATTTCCCAACTTTAAGTGGATCTTCTTGTTTGTTGCTCTTCCTGACCATTGTGATGCCGTCCCAGTCCTTCTCTTCAAAGACTGAGTCATTGTAAAAGCAAAGAGCAGGGCCCTGAAAAGAAATTGTTTAGATAATTGAATACAATTATCAACAAACCAACGATAGGTCCATGAGCCATTATGTCCTTTAAGGTATACTGCTGATAATTTATGAGAAATCTTCATTTTCCCTGTACAAAGAAACCACTTGTCTTGTATGATACTGTTGCTCTCCTAGTTTGTACTTCGCAAGAGGGAGGAAAAGTTGCATTTGGGCTTTGAACACCAGTTTTTCGTTATACAGAAATACAACCATCTATCTCGATGTTTCGAAATCAAACAAAAACTATGGGAAGAGCAGATTTCAAACAAAGTTCGTGCATCAATATATTTTGGGAACCATGGAAACATTTTTATTGAAATTTACAAAACAAAATGTTTAAGAATTATTTGTATTGGCACAGTGTATCAAATTTAATTAAAATTAGACCAAAACTGTGGAAGGGATACATTTTTTAAGAATTCACAAATATTCAAGCAATGATGGCAACACCGTTCCTTGAAATAAAAAGATCAATATCTAGAATTTTTATCATAGTGTAGCTTACTTCTACGCGAAGATTTATTGAATTCAGACAAAACCGTACGAGGACTAGAAACCTGAAAGAATTCGATCTATCTGCCTGCTATGATTTAGTGTATTTTCAACATCTGACAATCACTTTATGCAGGGATCCAGGGGCCATGAATTCTTTAATTCTCGTTAAAGACTCAGTCCTTATAATAATCAGGAAAATGATTGTTTTCAGATGCATTTCCACACGGAAAGAAAATGTTCGAAGGTAAAGTGTATTTTCAAAACAAGACTTTCATCCCCCTTGAGCCTGAACCCAGGTTTTGGAGACAGGATTTTTTACAATTTTGCTAAAGGATGCTGGTCTTTGTAAATATCTAAACACTTTGCTACATGTCCATGTGTAAGATGAAGGTTTTTAAACTAATTTAGTTAATGTTTCGACAAATGACCAGGTAATATCTGTCCTGAAACATAAACCGTGGATTAGGGGGTCAAGAATTTTAGTTTTGGTGGAGGGCAAATGCATAATTATAATCAAGAAAATATTTTCCCGCTAGATGTCTAGACGTAAATATAATTTTTAAAGAATGAATTTTTATCAGGTTTTGGACGCATCCTCTAAGCTCCAAAGGTACTAGCTAGGGCCAAGGAATTCACGTTTTGTTTCCTTTTGTCTAAAGATATGCTAAATACTGAATTTGGTTGAACCATTTATGAGAAGTTTAAGTTTTTCAAAAAGTTTACAATGCTGAATTACACATATCAGACAATAATGGACAAGAACAAATAGCAAAAGATCTCCAGAGAGACTTAAGTGGCACAAAAATCCACAGTATATTGACACCTGTTAAATGCTGAAAAAAAATTACACGTTATATTCAAGATATACATTTACTGAAAGCTTATTCCATTGTCTAAAACGCAAAAATATGCATGCAGTTGAATTGAATTATAATCTAATCCAACCTCCATTGTTGACTTTAACTTTGATTTTTAGTGTGAATGAATCCCACAATAAGGGTTGCCCGCGTGGCGCAGTGGTCTAGAGTCGCGAAGTAAGGAGTTGATCCTTACATCGCGGGTTCGAATCCCACTGTGGGACGTGAAGACCGGTCCTTCGGATAGACCATATAAACCGAGGTCCCATGTCGCAGTAGGTGCTGGCACGAAAAAGATCCCACACTGCTCAATGGTCCTAAGTGCCGAGCATAGGTCAAAATTTGCAGCTCTCCACCAGCAAGTGGTGGCGTCTCCATATGAGTAAAAAATTCTCGAGAGGGACGTTAAACAATAAACAAACAACAACTAAGGTGATAAGGAATGAGGTAGTTTCAATACAAATCATGCCCTGTATTTTTCTAGAATATGGAAGTGATGTAAGAAATTAAAGCTCATCCTTTTCAAGCAGCAAGAACATACAAATATTTTTTTTTCATACATCCTAAATGTCAATTGTGACGTCATGAACTTGTGCACTTTCATATCTTTTCTTAAATAATTGCAGAAGACTTGAATTTTCAGTGGAACTTTATTTAAGATAATATAGAGTACATGCATTATTTAAGATAATATAGAGTACATGCATCGCCCACAATGATTTTGAGAAATGTGACTTTTCAAATGATTTTACACAACATATCTTAAAATTGAAATGAGGAAATTACCATTGAATTGAGTCATTTTGAGGATCTTCTGTTTAAAACTTTGAAATGTACCAAATTAATGACGTCATATTTCAAGAATGGTCCTCCTTCATGCCATATTATTACATGATTTATCACATTTATATTCTCAACTCATATTTAAACCAATGAAATATATGGAGATAACGAACAGTTTTCAAGCTCAAAAGTCCATTAAACAATGCAAAATTTGGAGCAGAGCAAACACGGACCTCTAAAACATCGAAGGTGGGATAATGTGCCATGGAAGAGTGAACATCCCCTGCCGACAGATCACATCCGCCGTGTGCTCATTGTCATGATCCGGAAATAAAGGAAAAATCTGTCGACAATTCAGTGTGTAAATAATGGTCCAGCAATTAGTATGAAAAACGTCAGTCAGTATTTGGCTTAATGATAAATTGTATTTGCTGACAAGGTCATTGTATCGACCATAGAATAACGAAATGACAACTTTAAATGAGAATGCTGATATTCTTGTTTTATCAACTATACTCTTTGAAAAAATTAAATTTAAAGGGCACAATAAAGCCTAGACTTTATCTTATTTTTCATAATTTGGCATAAATTTTTGTGAAACTAATGATTTAGAATACCAAGCACAACTGCTTTTTCTCTGAGTTTAGTACAGAAGATACGAGGAGTGATCAAAAAGTTCGCCAACTACATGTTATTGAATAACATCTATAAAATAAATAAAATTAGATTTCGGTGTTTATCATTTTTTAAAGTTGTCCTCTCCGATTTTACATCTGCCCATCTGCCACAGTTCTGCCCATCCGCGAATCACGTGATCCAGGCGTTCAAGTGAAATGCTCCGTAGCGTTCTGCTCACAGAAACTAAAAGATTTTTCTAGGGTTTATATTTCTTACCATGCAAGTTATTTTTTTTAAAACAAGAACTGTCCATTTGTCATAAATGGCCAAATCTCGGCAATAGGATGAGTTGACAGGGATATTTTTCCCGACTTCTCTGTCTTGGATGCGTCGGTTTTCCATTGTGGAAAAAGTATTGGCGCCTTCTTTTATCATATCTAATATGTTTAAAGTCTAAAGTAAACAGTATTTTAGGGTTTTAATAATTATAATATTCTTAAAATATTCAACTATATTTCTAACTGTAACTTGTCGATCTTTCATAACGAATTGTTCAACTAAGGACACATTTTTTTCCCAACTTACTTTCACTGAGCACCAGAACAAACATCGTTTTTATCTATCCCCCTTCACTAAAACAATCGATCCAATCAATCGTTGTACAAACCTTGTACAAATTATTATATGCTACTGTAAAGGAATTTCCAAGATATACGTTAAACTTTACTACGCATTCTCTGTAAGCACCAATTGCAACAAATTTACTATAGGGCTTGGAAACGACATGTCTCGGATTTTGATGAAATTTGCACCACAGATGTGTCTTGGTACAAAACTAGCATATATGGTGTCGGAAGTTCCACACGTGCACTTGGTTGCCATGGAGACGGATCCATTAAATTTGGCCCTTTTTGGCCCTTTTTGGCCAAATGAAAACATGAAAATGAAGGAAATGTAAACGGATATTTATCGGTATCTACTACACTCAAACTAAAATCATTGGATCATATGATAACTTGAACTTTTAAGGTACACAGGGCATATAATCATTTATTCTAGAAATATTCCCAATCTATGAAAAAGGTCATGCAAATTGACATGGTTTCTGAAAATTTGAAAAATGGGGAATTTAGCATTTTTTGAGATCTTTAAGGCTAAATAAGAAAAATTGTCCGTGGAAAATTTCCAAATCTTATGTGTGTTTTCATACTTGAGAATTAGTAGTGTCATCTCATGAAAAAATATAGGTGTATCTATAAATAGATATATTTTAGAAAAATGTAAAAAAAAAATCAAATTTTGGCAAAGTTTTAGATGTCAATGCCGGATAATTAGGAAGTATATTGTAAATATTAAGATGTTAATGACAGTAGCTAGACACCACTAGCTGGAGTGGACAATGGTTGAGGGGATTTCCATTTCTATTTATAGTATCAAGCACCTAAATATAGATATGTATACAAATTGTCTATCCTTTTTTGATTTTGATGAATGATGTTGATATGCTTACTAAAGATAAAAATTTCTGTAATTTTCTTTAAAGGCTACTCCTCCTGCAGATTTAGTCTGATTGCAATAAACCAAGGACCATTATTCTACCTAATGCTCTTCCAATGTTTCAAGTCAAGATGCTTCTTTCCTCTTCCTCTTTTATAAGTACAAACCGATAGAGCTACAGTTTCATCAGAGACTTCTAGTTTACAGATGAACTCCTAATTCCCAATTTTGACATCATGAACTTGTGCATTTTTCTGTATTTTAATTAAATTTTGCAGAAGACATCAATTATCATTGGAATTTTCTTTTAGACAATATGGACCACATGCATCTACTTTCTGTGTTGTTGCTGATTACAAAACTAATTATTTTTCCGATTCCTGATTGCCCTAATTCTTGTCTTTAAGCAATATATTAATCTACAAGTTTATTTTGTCTATAGTTTTTAATTCTTTTTAGCCAAAGACTCAAAGAGCTTATTCTGTGGCCGTGTCTGTGGTCTGCGTCAACCTTTTGGAATATGGACCATATCTAAAGAACCTTTTGGCCAATTCTTGTCAAATGTGTCACAAAGTGTCCTTGGCTTAAGGGCTCTCATTAATACTAAACATAGGGATGTGCCCCTTAAACAAGGGGAGATAATTAGGTAAACAAGAGGCCCATGGGCCACTACGCTCAGCTTAATTACTTTGTCCCTCCTGTTCCTCACCAGATTTCCCC